TATATATATATATATATATATATAATGGATTAATTACTCAATAAACAATTTCAAAATTTATGTCTATGTGAATCAAAGCTTTTTTCCTTACATAATTTGAGTAATATAGGATTTATTTTAATTTAGAGAATAAATTCCTTATAGAGAGAAATCTCTATTGTTAATTACATTTTAGGAGTGATGATCCCCTACGAATGCTCTTGATTAAGTTAGAGGCTCGTGTTTCTATACATTGCAAATTTATTTTTCAAGATTGCTATAAAAAAATTAAACAAGATTGCTCACATCAGACTACTAACACTTTAATTATTTTATGTTGAGCTTTACATTATAGGATTGAGATTTATTTCATTTGATTGTTATTTTATTAGAAAGTTTTGACTTATATTTCAACTATATAAGATTATTAAAAATTATAAAACATGAGGACTAATGATGTAACAAAAGAAAAATGATATGCCTCAAAATTTAAACTAAGGTAAAAATTACTATTAAATAGGACCGACTTGGTTGGGCTTAAAATTTTGTCTATAAAGAACAACCAGTTAAACTTATTTAATTGTTTTAAAATCATGATGTCTAATCTAATGATATACAAGATAGTTCAGATGATTATTTATTTGAGGAGAGAAATATGACTTGTAACTCGACCATTAGTTGCCTATTTATAATTGGCGTGCAATGACTTAGCTAATGCATTAACTTCTATTTCAATTGGTTGACTGAAATGCAATCTTGAGATGCAATGCATGTTTTTAGAATTTTAAAGCATAAAGACACCAAATATATCTTTGGTACAACTTGCCCAAAGAAAAGAATTTTATCCTCATAGGTCGGATTACTCTTTCTTGTCATGGGAGAAGTTTCTAAAAATAAGGAATAGATGAATATGAATGCATATGATTAGTTGTACATAATGATTTCTAAGTCATTTTTAATTTTTATATTATTTTATTTTGATTATTTTATTTTAAGGTGCTTACCACACAGTCAAGCTGTACACAATCACATAAAGAAAATTAGAAAAATAATATGCTTTCTATATTTGCAAAAAATTTAAACATATAATAGAGAATCAAGTAAATAACTAAAAGGGATGATTATATATAGACCACCCAAAACATTGATATTTACAAATTAACCCCCCAAGTGATTTTTTGGAACTACCAAATCGATGTATTTATGTGTGCCATGAGCAAACTATTGAGAATTTGATAAAATGAAAAATATGGGTTGGGGTTCTACCATGAATTTTGAAATTTGAGTGAGAATTTGACAATTGAATGAAGGAGAGTGGTTGAGCTGTAAATAACAATTTTCGGGTGGTCTGTATCCTTTAACTAAAAATAATAAACTGAAGAGGCCGGGGTGGCTGAGTACCGCAATACACCCCACAAGAAAGAGAACAATGGGTTTGTCAAGCTCTGCCCTTATACAACCCGTCCTAGACCTATAAGATTGAATGACAAAGTTTGTGGGGTCTTCAATTCATTCTCCTGAGATTGTTCGACATCGCGAAGCTTCTCATGAAATTTTTTATATAAGAGGGTTCATCCTTATCATCTTCGTTCATTCCTATTTCTTTTGGTTCTTGCTTGATTTTTTTTTGTTTAGGTTCATTTTCTTTTGTTTAGGTTCATTTTCTTTAACTTCATAGGCTTTACCAAACTCACCTAAATTATAAATATAGACTTATGTGTTGAAAAATAAAACCTACGCTTACTACAATACATAGGTCTTATATAACCCTACAAAACAGAGTCAACATATAAAACATGTATGTCCCAAAAAGTGTATATCACCACAACCATTACAACGTATCACATAATATTACATAACATCTCAGCAATACATCATATTGAACAAACAATGCAAACAATCATAACCTGAAAATTAGGGTGGGTGCCATAACAAACAAATCTAATTTGTGCTAGAATATGTGGTGAGTTTTTACTAGTCCTTAATCTTTAATTTTCAATTCAAATTTGGGGCTTAAGTTTTACCAATATGTGTTTTAAATTTAAGTGATCAATGTTTTAGAACTTTTCATTTCAATTTTTAGATTTGTCATTCAAATTTGGTTTTAGAATTTTACAAAGTAATCTTGAATGTGCATATCTATCATAGGGGCAAATTTGTAATTTAAGACATCATAGAAATTATAAAATGCACAGTTCAACCAAAGAGGTAAAATGATATTTTATAACATCTCAAAACGTACAAAAAGTGACTTTAATGGATTTTAATTAATTTTTTATTTTTATTTAAAGGTGATTTTATTTATGAATTTAAATTTTTATTTTAGGTCCAAATGACTTTAAAATTTTATGAAATTAATTTCTAAGATCAAAGAAAACCTTAGAAACATTTCATAAAAGTTTGGAGAGGTTTTGGTTTATTTTGAATTAATTAATTTTTAGTATTTTTTTAAAAAGAAAATTCCCTTTAATGCAGAAAATAACTCTGAAAATTATGAGAATATTGTTTGGAGTTAGGGACCACCATAGAGATGTCTCATTAAAATTCGGATTAATTTTAAATTAATTTATATTTTTAAAAAATTTATTAATTGTTTTAGTTTCAAGGAATTATAAAAAATTCAAATGATTTACAAAGTTAATGAAAATTTAAAAGGAAGTCTAGAAAGTCATCCTAGCGTACCTCCAAAAAATTGAGACCATTTTGAGCTCAACTGAATTTTCTATGAATTATTTACTTTATTTACATTTTTAAAAGTTCAGAATTTTTTATTATTAAAATAGTTGGGATTTAATTTTCTTAATATCACTCTATTCTTAAGGTTAAAATTGGTGATTTTTTATGTTATTTGATTTATTATGAATTAATGAAGTTTAAGTTTAATTAATGATTTATTTAATTCATTAAATGGTTTTTTTTTAATTTTTAATGAAAATACTTAAAGAATGTCAATATTTGTGATTTAATTGCAGACCTTTAAGGAAAGTTTTGAAATAAATTTTCATGAATTTTGACTTTTTTTAAATATTTAATAATTTTTATTAATTATCATTTAATGAAAATTATTTAAATGATTCAAATCACCTTGAATTTCTCACAAGAAATTTTATAGAGATCTCAAGGATGTTTAAGGAAAATTTGGGAATAATCAGAAGTA